ACGCGCGTTCGGATCAGTGTCGCGGGGCCCGGACTCCCTGGTTACATTTTGTCTGCTTGTTTGTCCGTTCGAAACCATGTTCCACGAGTGGAACACCACCCGAAGGCACCGCCAATGTATTCGGGCGTGTGGCTTCGGATCTTACGCACGCCGTGCACAGCGATGCTTTTTGCACTACTCAATTTGCCCCGTGCACGTGCAGCGCGTGAAAAGAGCACTCGCGTGGCTTCAAGAATACTGGGAAGTGAGCCTCTGAGCCCGATTCTGCCACACCTTTTCTCTTCCCCCTCTTGTGAAAACCTGCTCTCTCAATTTGCAGCTGTTCATTTAATGCGCAACTGTTTTCATATGTTTGGGGTGTTTCCTTCTGTGTGTGTGTGCGTGTGTGTGTTTACCCCCGCGTTTATCTTGTCTCTCGTGAAAGCTCTCGGCAGGGGTGCCAGTCTGGCGTGGGTTCCGCTGCTCTTTTTCTGTCGGGTCCCGCGCCGTCCTCGTCGCCTCTCCTGTCGTCACCCCTCCGTCGTCTGCCACCCGCCGCCGCGGCGGCGCCCGCCGTGCATCCTGATGTTCGCGGCGGGCACTCAGGACGATCCTCATCCCCTCAGCCCCTCCTCCTCCTCTTCCTCCTCCTCCTCCTCTTCCTCCTCCTCCTCCTGCTTCTCCTCCTCATCATCCTCCTCCCGCCAATTCCTCTCATGCCGCTGCTGCTGAGGCTCCTGCTCCTCGTCCGTCCTCTCGTTTCCCAGGTCTTCCTCAGCCCGCTGTCCTCCCCCCATCTTCCAGTCAACACTCTGGCATGATGACCAATTTGGTGTCGGGGAAGGGGGGCCCTGGTGCGCGGACCGCTCCTCGGATGTACATCGGGGATTTCTGAGAGGCCGACGACTCTTTGCCGACCTCGCCCCCTCACCACCACCCTCCAGGGAGAGTTTGACATGCGCGCGAACGACGCCGACGGGGGTGGGGTGGGAGGCGTGCGCGAGAATGCGAGGGCAGCCCCGTTCTGCGCGCAATGCATGGCGCATCGGGCTGAGGCGCAGAGGAGCGAGTGGCCACTGAAGCAAGCGGCCCTGCTGTTCCGCGCGAGCTCCAGACCCAGAGCCCCGACGATGGCACGCTTCCATGTGGCACTTTGTTAGTAAACTTCGGCCCTCGGGGGCTGTCTTCGGGCCCCCCCGAGACAATCAAACATGGCTCCGGGGTGGCAACTTTTTCCAGGGGAAGGAGTCCGGGCTTCTGGGGCCGCGGATTGAAAAATCACACTGGCGCCGCCGGATGCCCAGGAATTCTTTGAGCGCTTCCTGGGCCAATGGCATGGCTGGGGCTGCTCCAGGCTGCGCGCGGACAACCCCCCCCGAGTAGCCCAGGGCGGCCTCAACACTCCAACCCCGTGGCGCGGAAGGCCCCAGGGGCGCCGCCAGAGGCGGCGCTAGGGTGTTCAGGGTGACGCCAGCCGTTGTGAAAAGATACGTCGCCTCGATCTCAGGGTCGTTTTCGTCCTGGATGTGGCCCGGGCCTACCAGCTGCCCTGCGAAACTATGTGTAACCTCCCGCGCGAGCCCACGGAGCAGGTGGCCCACGCCCTACAGCAGGAGCTGGACCTCCGCGGGCTGCAGAAGGACGAGCTGGGCGAGGACTCAGCACCGCGGGCTCTCCTCCCCAAACCCCGTCGAGTCGGGAAGAAAAACACGACGGGCGCTGTTTTTGCTAGTTTCCGCACTTGGAGCGACTCAGGAGGAAAAGCTGGTCCTTGGGAGTGGGTCGAGACTTTCCGGGCTCTTTTCCCAGATCTCCGACGATATGATTGTTTAGTTCCTGCAGTTGTTCTTCGATTTCAGCCTCTTGGGCCCGTTTGTCGGGACTCAGGACCAACAAAAAAGCGGGACGAAACATTACAGTCCCAAAGTGGGTTGGGAGTTCAGTGGCCGCATTTTGAACACCAGCGGATATCAGGCCTCCCAGGACTTTCTTTTGATCCAGACGCGACAATACAAGTAATTAACGACGGCAAGTACCGACGGCATTTTTTTCATGTTCTGGGTGGCCGCTTTCCGTCCCTGGCCCGTCGAATGAGCGGCTCGGGAAGAAGAGCCGGGCTTTGGGGAAGGGGTCGAGTTCCAGGGGCCCGCGTCATGGACAACGTTGTCGCGAGAAGTTTACAGCATCGCGATACCCCCGACCGAAGCCCTGGACCCCGTCTTTCTGCAGCATTTTGCGAGCTGGATCGACCTGTGATGTCTCCGGCGCCCGGAAGCCGACGGATTCGCCGGTTGCGACAGAATTGCAAGGCCCGGATCTCGAGGGGGGGACCGCCGTCGTCCTCGACCGCGCGGGTCGAGGGCCGCAGTCCGTTGGGCGCCCTGGAGCTCTCTCGGGGGTGCCTTTCGGGGGGTCGGGCTCGCCGGGCTCGCCGCGAGGTTCCCTGGCCTGGGAGCAGCCTGGGAGAGCGGCCCGAGAGTCGACGCGGAGGCCCAGAGCGCCGACGCCACGGAGGAGTGTTCCATGGCCCGGATCTCGGGGGAAGAGGGCCGAGGGCGTCATCTTGGCTGTCTCGGCCTCGATCGGGTGCCGCCCTCGCGGACCTCCAGGGGGCCACCAAGCAATGGCCCGCTGCGAGAAACCGACCCCCAGGGGGGTGGGAAGAACAGAGCTCTGGGAGCCACGTCGTGAAAGAAGCCTCGATGCTGGACCCTGAGATCCTGGCGCCTGGCGTTGCAGTTTCTCCACAACGGGACAAAACCATCACAGATCGATCCAGCTCAAAGAATGCAGCAGAAAGATGGGGTCCAGGGTTCCAGGAGTTGTTCCTCATTCTGCTTTTGTTCACAACGTTGGAGGCTTGGGCGTCTACCGAACTGGGGTGCGAGGGTACGGTAGGGGTTCGTGTCGTGCCGACGCGGTCGCGACCCCAGCGCGGGCGTTTAAGGTCGATCGCCACCGATGGTATATACTCGGCCAAGATGGAACGGCCGCCCATCATTCGAGGTCGAGCGATCCACGCGGTGTTAGAAGCCAGCGCCGGGCTCGTCACGACACGAGCCCGCCGTACCCAAGCGGCGCCCTTCGCGGGCTGGGCTGGAGAGCTGTCCGTCTCTGAGGTTCAGCGGGAGTGCGATGCGGGGCTGAGTATCCACAGGATTCTTTTCTGTTGATTCGTTTTGTGCCGATCATCGGGGCTGCCTTGTTGTCTCTTTCTGGTTAAGTTGCCGAAAACGCGCCAGAGCAAGCGACCAGCGAGACGAAGAGGCGAGGGTTGGCCAGGGCGGCATGTGCTGGACCGACAGCGCTCACTCGGCCAGCGGTGGGAGCAAGCGGGAACACCCCACTGGCGGCCCCGCAGCCTATCATGACGATCACGGACAAGGGCGGGAGGCGGAGCCGCCCCTGCGACCGGGCGGGCTGTCGTCGTAATCGCGGGCGATTCGCGGAGTCGGTCCCTCGCCGTTTGTCGGTTGGGCGGGGATATATGGTCACCCCCCTCCGCGCGCTAACCTTCGGCTGGTCCAGCTTTCTTGTGGGGCACAAAAACCTTGTCCTAGGGGATGCCGCTATTGCACACAGCCCTCGCTCCACGGTCTTGGGCTGGTCTAGCTTGTTTGCAAGGATGATGTGCAATAATCGTGTCTTGGGGGATGCCATATTTGTACACAGCCCTCGCTTCACAGTCTTGTGCCGGACCAGCCTGGTTGATTGTGGTGTACAATTTGTGTTTGCATCTTCGGAGGCCTCTTCCGTCCTACAAGCAACAGTTGTTTCCTGTGCCCGACGCGGGTTCGGCGCGGATCTGGCGCGTACTCGACGTGTATTCGGCGTGGATTCGGAATGGACTCGACGCGCATTCGACAACCTAATCGAGAACAACAGAGTTTTTATTATTTATAATTCGATGAAAACGTGGCCTCACTTAGGTACCCATCTTCGCATTAGGGGCAATACATCTGGGTGGTTTTGTCTGATACATTTGCAGACAAGACGCCCTGTCCCTAATGCGCTTGGCCCTCCTAGCTTAGGGCCCCTCCCAAAGGTTAAGGGGTATTCTTATTGTTATTGTTTATCACAAACTCTACATGTATTCGATTCGGACTCGACGCGGATAGCGGCGCAATGGGGAACATATGCATCATATACAACAATCGTGCCCTTGGTTGGACAGCTGAGTTCTGAACATGTATTGGAGAGTCGATGTGCCTCGGGAAGTTGCGTCGGATTCCAGCAGCCGCAACGCTCGATCGGACACGCCCAGAAGGCACGGGGGATCTGGCGCGAGAGTTCTTGGCGGCGGAGTCTGAGCCGATTGTGTGGGGGGTCGGGGAATCATAGACAAACGCGATTCGTCACCAATCGGGGCCTTCTCCCCCGCGCCCCGCCCAGGAACTTGCGGTTTCGCTATCGGGGTCCTATCGCCTTTTTTTGCGATGCATCGCCGATTTCAAGCCGATGCGTCTCCCCCTGACATGCAGTCCCCCATTTACCGTTTTCCCTCCTCTTCTGTAGCTAAGCTGATGATGATTTGCTCATCCCTTGAGCCAAGAGGACCTGTCGACACTGCTCCGATCATGCCATGCTATGCTTACTCCTGCACAGGGGGTCTCCGACCCCAGCAAATACAATCCACAACACGCCCCCTTGGAAGCTCGGCGCGAGCCTGAGCTTTCAACCGACTCCTCCAAAAGATGCTGACTGGGCTGGGGCGTCCCCCAGGCTAAATAGGTATTACAATCAGAGCGCTATCCCACAACGGGTCTAAGCGTCTCGAGTGGGCTCGCTTGATCGGTTCGGCTTCCAAGGAGAAAACATACTAGTATTAAACATGGCGGATAGAGCGTGAGCTCAGCAAATCTCGCACTGTCAGCTTTCACAGTGCGACGCGTAGCCAATCAAGGTCCTCACCCTGAGCTTCAGTACAGAAAGAGTCCTCTGGCCCTGCCGTCACTGCCAGCATGCGCCTCAAGGAAGGCACCGTGCATGCCGATCGCCAACGGCTGGAACCGCGGAGTAGTCTACCTCCACTTGTATGTTGTCTGTGACTGTGTGCCCACCGTCCTCCTCGTCTGGTTGCTCTGCTCCACCATCGACGGGGCTGACACACAGCTGATGCCTGCGTCGATCTTCTTGTCCTTCACGTCATCGGGCTCGGGCGAGACAAGGAGCCACTCTGACTCCCCCCAGTTGGCGTAGCGGAACCCCGCGTAGCTGCAGACGGTGGCCGCGACCAGCGTCCAGACGACCACCACCAGCCAGTAGCTCGTCCAGTCGCTCGCGACCACGCCGTCCTTGGAGCAAACCTCCGTGTCGTAGTAGCCGTCGTACTCGGTGGCGGGTCCCTCACAGCCCTGCAAGAGCGTCACCGCCGCCGTGATCATCGCCAGGGCCGCCGAGCGGCTCACACCGGGTGAAGTGGCCGCGCCTCTGGCGCGCCGAACCCGAGTTGCCGCCCCCACGTCGAAGTCCACCTCCTCCGACTGGTGGTCGCTTTCTGCGACCTGGCCCATGTCCGTGTAGATGCCGTTCATCGTCCTGAGCTTAACGAAGCGCTCGTGCCCGAGGATCTTCGTGCCTAAGTCCGCCTTGTTGTCGTCTGTACCAGCAGTCCCGAGGTCCATCAGCTTCCTCTTGATCGCCTGCTGGAGCCAGAGCACGCGCGCCTCCAGGCTCCTGACCTTGCCAACTCTCTCGCGTTTGGCAATCCCTCGGGCCGCCGACGAGTCCGTCAGAAGAGTAGCCACCACCGTGAAGCCCATGAACTCCAGGAGCGACTTGAAGTACAGGAGGTCCTCGGCGACCGCCGCCCCCGCGTAGTACTCTGCCACTCCCGAGCTGGTCGCCACGATCCCCTGGCGCCTGCTGAAGGAGTGCATGGGGACGTTGTCAATCTCGATCTTGCCGCTCGTCTGCGACCTCCTCGTCTGCAGGTCGCCTGCCCAGTCACTGTCGCCGCAGCCCACCAGCTCCACGTTCGCGCCCTCCGTCGGCCACGGCAGCCAGTTCACCGCGTCCCTCGTGCCCAGCAGGTACCTGACCAGCCTCTTGAGTGCGGTGAAAGCGCCGACGGTGGGGCCCGACAGCATCCGTCCGAGCAAGCTCACCTCGTACTGGCAGCCCGCCCTGTCCTGGGCGTAGTACATCAGCGCCCCCACGCAGGATCGGTAGATGCCAGCCTGGACGGGGGACAGGGCAGAGGTGCCCCCCATGAGCGCCTTGTGAGCTGGCACCCCTGGCGTGGGCGCCGTGTTCGAGTTCCCGAGGCCGAGGGTCTCCACCACGTGGTCCAGGTACTTCGGGTTCGCCCTTCAGGTGCTCGTAGGTGGTGCCGTACTCGTGGATCTCGCCGCCGCTGAAGGTCACGTGCTGCCCCAGCTCGTCGCGGAAGCCCTCCAGCGCGCCCCTTGGTCCTGCCATGCGCAGGTCGTCCATGTGGAGCTCGACCACCACCTCAGTTTCCGAGTTGTAGAAGAATTGCGGGGCCACCTCGCACCTCGCCATGGGCATCTCGTCCGCGAGGATGCCCGCCATGTGCTCCACCCAGCCTGGCGCCGCCTTGCGCCTGCCAGGCAGCTGCTTCTTCAGCCTCCAGTAGATGTCCGTGCTCCTGCACTCTGCCTGCAGCATGTCCAGGTACTCCTGCGGTGGGTCCACCACCGCGTCCTCGTGCTCGGGCGCCTGGTAGAAGGCGTCCGTGGCGTCCAGCGTCATCACCTCGAAGCCGCGCTTGAGAGCCACGAAGTCGATGAGCCTATTGGAGATCGGAGCCGATCCTGGCGTGAACAGGTCGTCGCGCCACTCCTGCCATCGGAACTCACGGCAGACGAACCGCACCCTGCGCTGCCACTCCTGTCGCGCTGGCTTCCACCTCCACTGCTTCTCCCAGCGCGTGGTGATGTGCTTCATTTCCCTTGCCTCTGGCTTGGGGGTGTCCTCGCCGACGCCGTGGTCCAGGAGGCTCTGCAGGTGCTCCAGCGTGAGCTTCTTGTCCATCTCGTCCTGCGCGTCCACTTCGAACATGCCATCGGTCGGGTCCTCAACCTCATCCGAGATCTCCTCCCAGAACGCGTCGGGCGAGTCGTCTACGTTGCCGACGCCCAGCTCGTTGACCGCTGCAACCCGCGCTCGCTTGCTCTCTGAAGCCTCCGTCTCAGGCGGCAGCCCGCGCCTCGCTGCCTGCGAGGGCGGCGCCCCCATGGCCGCGTCTCCTGGCGCTGGCGGCGCCGGCTGCTGGGGCTGCGGCTGTGGCTGCGGCGGGCCCGCCGCCGCCGCTGGAGGTGCCTGCGGCGAGGCCTGGGGCTGAGCAGGGCCCGCTCCGCCCTCAGGTGGCCCTGCCTGCCGCGGTGCCTGCTGCTGCTGCTGCTCGTCCGCCCTCAGGATCTCCGTCGCCACGTGCGGGGCTGCCCGTCGCCGCCTCGACCTCTCGGGCGCCGTCCTCGTCGCCCAGGGGAGGCCCGTCACCGACAGCAGGAGGTCCTTGTCGGTCTGTCTGCCTTCAGGCAGCCGTCGCACCGTCCGAGCTATCGATCCCCTGCGGCGTCATCATCAGATGCTCCTGGGACTCGTCGGATCTGCCAACCCAGATCCCACGGCTCCACTGCGCCTCCCCGCGGCGCAGCCGCCGTCCTCCACCGAGTCCTCGATGCTTTGGCCGAGCTGTTCGATGCAGCACCGTCTCGCCGAAGTGGCAGATGTCGCCTTTGTAGGGCGCGCCTGTCGCTATCTCGCGCGGGGCCTGCCCCCCCAGCCCGTCGCGAGCACCGTTCGTGTAGCCACCCAGCGTGACGCATCATCCATGTCCAGATCGGCATCGCCGTCGTGATCCTGGCGCAGTAGCGCTTCTCGAGATCCAGCCTGAGAACTCGCGTCTGGCCCTCAGCGATCTTCACCGCCGCCTCCGCTGGGTTAGACTGGCTGCTGTGCTTAGGCGTCAGCTCTGGCTCATCAGCTCTGCGACCACTCCGTCCAGGATTGCCTTCGTCGCAGGCTCGGAGTCGGTCCTGGGCCTGCATTTGCCCGTCTCGAGCCGCTGCGCGAATGATTTGATGCCTGCAATCTCATATGGCGACGCCGACTTCGACGGGCATGGAAGAACCTTCGCCACTTCCGCGTCCGAGCTGAACCCCGCGAACATCGTCGCGCAGGTGTCCTCAACCTTCGTCAAGTCCCCGCCCTCATCAGCCGTCTTGCAGAAACCGAAGTCGTAGCTGATGAGCGGCGCCGTCCGCTCGGAGCCCTCGAGCGCGACCTACGCGCGGGGGGCGTCGGGCGCCTTGCCGCGGGCGCACTCCTCGCACCAGGGCGCGGCTGGCAGATGGGTGAGGCGGCGCTGCCTCTCCTCCTCAGCGCTCGGAGCCTTCGGCGCGGGGAGCTGCCTTGACTCGACGGGGTCGTGCTGGATCCCGAGCTGCTCCTTACTGCCTGCTTGTGCGCCCTCTCAGGTTCCGATCGCTTAACCGCTGCATCCGGCACGATGAGCCTGTCCCAGAGCTCCGCCCTGGTGCCGTAGATGGGCATGAACAGCTCCCTCAGCCTGGCCCTCGTCGCGCCGACCGAGCTGTCCGCGTTGAGCACAGGAGCCGTCGCCGCGTCCTGCCGCTCCGCCGCGCCGCGGCAGTGGCGCGCCTCGGCTGCGGGGCCCGCCGGGACAATGGGGGGCCTGAGGCTGTTCCTCTCCAGCTCGAGCTGCACGCTGCGATGGCCCTTTGTCATGTAGAGCCCGTCCACCAGGCTGAGGTTGAACTTGAAGCCCTGCCCGAGCAGCTTCCCCATGCTCAGCAGGTCATCGTTCACGTCAGCAACTAGGAAGTCCGCCGTCGCCTTGGTGCCTTCCTTCATGGCCATCTCAACTCCCCTCAGGCCTGCCGTCGGTAGCGGCCGCTGCTGCACGTCAAAGAGCCTCGGCGCGTCCACTGCGCTGCTGACGGGGGCCTCTGGGACGAATCTGTGCCTGCAGAGATGGTCGTCGTTGCCGCTGTCGATCAGGATGGAGCCGCCGACCTTCGCCACCTTGCCGTCCGTCCCCGCCGTGACCGCGAACACCCAGCCGTCGGGGGTGCCGTCGTAGTAGCCCGACGCCGCCCTCGCCGTGCCATCCGCTGGCTGCTGGCCCGATGACGAGGGTGCGTCGCCTTGAACCGCTCGGGTGTGACCTGCCTCTTTCTTCGCGTCATCGGCCTTCTTCTTCCTGCAGTCGGCCCGCTTGTGGCCCCACTTGCCGCAGTAGCCGCACTCGCCGTCAAAGTACTCCGTCTGGCCCTTGCCGTGCTTGCCGCCGTTGCGAGCCTTGGAATTGGTCTTCGGGTCCTTACCCTTCTGAAGCTTGCCCGACTTCCCGCCTGACTTGTCCGCCTTGCCTGTCTTGCGCTTGCCGCTGGCCTTCCCGTTGGGAGGCTGAGCCCGAACTGCATCCACCTGCATCGGCACGACTCCCCCCGCGTCTGGCACGTGGGTGAAGGTCCTTCCCTGGTTGTAGTAGCCCCTGATGTGGCTGCGAGCTGCGCTGAACGTGAGCTTCACCTCCTCTGGGGCCTGCCGCAGCACCTCACGATGCGGATCTGGTGCGTGCTCAAGCAGCACGCTCACCCTCACGTTGTCCGAGACTGCCTCGCCACTCTGGTCCACGTGCTCGGCCACGATCGCTTCTCAGGCGGTAAGCGGCTGAAAGAAGTCAATGCCCGCGTCGCGATCCTTGGCCAATTGTCTTGCGGGTTCAGGATGAACCGCAGCATAGCCGTCCACCGATTGCCTGAACGGCTCTCCTACTCGTTCTTGAGCTGGCGCCACGCCTCGAGGCCGTTCTGGCGCGATCGCTTGACCACTCCCATCGCCTTGCCCTCACAGTAAGTGATCAGCGGGTGCCACAGGCGCTGGCTTGCCTGCCTGGCGCGCTCGTCGAGCTGGTCGTTTAGCAGCGGGTCCTGCCTCTGCCCCGCCGCTGTCATGAATTCCTCGAAGCCGAGATGCGCCGTGCAGGCCTCGAATCGGAGACTCCAGCCCCCCCACTTCTGATCCGTGCCGTCGAACCGCTGCAGCCGCATGTCGGTCCGCACGTCGACCACGTCGACCGCCGCCATCGCTGCCGAAGAGGAGCCCTCGAGGGCAGCGAGGGCGCGTGGCGCGCGAGCTCAGCTCCCGTGGCGTGGGAACCGAGTTCCGCTACTATGTAGCTAAGCTGATGATGATTTGCTCACCCCTTGAGCCAAGAGGACCTGTCGACACTGCTCCGATCATGCCATGCTATGCTTACTCCTGCACAGGGGGGCCCCGATCCCCAGACAATACAACCCACAACATCTTCTCATCTTCATCTTCTACACATGAAATCAGGTGTCCCAAATCTGCCTGCGGATCGCATCGACACTGGGGTATCGGACATCGGACACCCCCGCTGGGGTCCACTCGACAGCAGATACCGTTCGATTTCGGAGCCCCAGCCGGCGTTTGAGAGATCTGAGCCGCAGGGGTAGGGTTCCGCGTGCGGTTGCCCACCAAACCGTTCGGGCGACAGCTCAGCCGATGGCCCGCCAACTCTTGCGCACTCCCTGCTGCATCCTGGAGGCATAGTGGTGGCCATGTAGGGATATCTTCAGCCATCGTGGACTCTGTCTTGGGCTCTGTGAGGCCGTCTTGGGACCACGTTGACCCGAAGCCATCCAGGACGCGCGCGGGCCAGGCTGCGCTGCGCTGCGCAGATGCCGCGCAGACGGGACTCAAGAGCAGCAGAGCACTTTGTTTGGAGTTCCGAGGCGGAGGTTTATCCATAACCACTTTGGGCATCTGGGAGGCAGCTTCGGGCCTTTTCGGGCGCCTGCTGGCGGTCTCGGGGGTCTTCCTGGGGCCGAGGGCTCGCGATGTCTGTTCGAGTTGCCAACCCTCTAGGGCCCCCCATTAGGGCCCGATTGGTGCCCTCCTGGGCCATCTTGGGCGACTCCTGGGCCCTTCCTGGGCCATCTTTGCCCGTTTTGGGGCCCCATGCGAGGCTGATTGGGCCTTCTTGGAGCGATCTTTGGGGCCTCTTCAACAGTCTAGGACGCCGTTGAGACTCAAGAGGCGAACATGTTAGAAATGTACGCTTTCATAAAGGATTTCAGCGATTGTTGACTCGTGGGGCTACTTGGGGGTCCTTGGAGCCTTCTTGGGGCGTCTTGGAGGCCACTTGGGCAGTCCATCTCGGTGGCATATTGGGCGTCTTGCAGGCCGCGGAGCGTAGCTTCGGAGGCTGCGGAGGCTCGGAGGCTGCGCCGGAGGACAGACCCCAGGGGAGGGGGAAAAGGGGAGGGGGACAGCCAATCGTCTCACACGCCTTTGCACCCCCGGCAGGCAGGGGTCGGCAGACTTTGCTGTGGCTCTTGCGGGGAGGTTGCGTTGTGCAACGCTTCAGTTTCGTTCGCTTTCGGGTGGCCTTTTCTGGCGTTCGCCACGAGGGGTCACCAGTTCTTCTTGGAATCTAGGTTCCAGGGGCGAAGCACGAGGACGTGTTTTGGACGTTTGGGGTAGTTCTGGCGGCTCTGGAGTGCCTTTCCATGAGGGCTGAGCACTTCCTAGAGGAAGTGGCGACCCGCCGAGTGGCAGCCCCCCTTTGGCATTGCCCCAAGCGTGCCACCCTCTTGGCCCGTAGCAATCACACCACATAGAAACGCCAGCCTGCCAGCAGGTGCCCCACGGAAGTTGCTTATCCCCCCGAAGGCTCTAGGAGCCCACAGGAGCTTTGGGGCACCTGGGAACCTTCAAAGATCGACGAAGAGCGTGCCCCAAGCCTTCCTGAAGCAATATGTTCCACCGTATATGAGCACTTCTCATTGTAGAGGTACAAGAGCTGGGTCGGGGGGAAAAAAAGCTGCACCCTGCTATTTTTTTAGAGATCGTGATGGTTTTCTTGACCAAGCTAAAGCTGCAGACGAGGTACATAACTGTTCGGCACAGCAACCGGAAGGAAATCATCGGGCGCGCTAGTCTAAAGTATCTAGACGCCTGAATTCGGTCTGCGACCAGAGCTGGGTCAGAAACACTGTTCGTACTCTGCTAATGTTTGGGAAGATGCTGGTAACTTTCTTGACGTAGCTCGAGCTGCAGAGGAGCTACAGACTGTCTGGCACATAGTCGCGAGGAGATCATCAGACGCGCTGGTTTCAAGTATCCAAATGCCCGAACTCGTCGCGCTAGCAGAGTTTGAACCAGAAAACTATTCGTGTGCTATTAATGTTCCCAGAGATGCGTTGTCCTCGCTCCTTCTTCTTCTCCACCTCCTCTTCCATGAGACTGGCTCTCGCGCGCGCAATGCGAGGTTGCCGCGCCCGCATTGCACGAGGAAGCTCTACGAGTTCCCGGCGGTAACCAAGGTTTCATGGTTGCTGCTGGGGCTCGTGGGGCCTCCCCGTGCGGCTCGAGCTGCATTGTGCAGTCAGGGGCTTGCCGAGGGTCGGCCGTGCGCGGTGGGGGCCGTGCCATGTCTGTCGCTCAGCTGCGACAAGTGCGCCGTGGACGTGCACTTCCAGGCCAGCTTGCAGGCCGCCTGCCATTGTTTGTTTGTTGATTGCCTGCCGCGACATTTTGTCGGCGGCCCTGCAGTGACGAGACGGATCAAATTATCAGAAGATCAATTTCGTGGGTGTTCTTATTTCTGACGTTGAGAGTTGCATTGGCTGTTGAGCTCACGGTGAGAGATATTGTGCACACTCCACCTAATGTACAGCATACTTTGTGCACGCAAGGAGAGGGCGATTGGGATTTGGGCATTGGTGGGAACATGCCCTCTGGAAGTACTCCAGACTCAGATCCGCCTCAGAGTTCAGATCAGTTTTATTTTAGAGACCCCTGGCAGATTTGGCCAGATTCTCCAGATCAATTTTCCTTCAGAGATCCAGCAAGGACGCATGAGATCAGCACGGCGGAACGCCGAGCGGGAGAGGAGGCTGAGTTGGCTGCGGCTGGTGTGCCCCAGGGACCTCCAGAGGATGATCGTGCCAAACGCATGAGACACCAGTTGCCGCCTGGCATGGAAGCCTTTGCTGCCCTTCTGGACAATAAGTTTGCCAAGCAGAACGCCGTCAATGAAAAGACCTTCAAATCAACTCTCAAACAAGTCATCACGGAGGAAGCGGGGCCTGTTCGTGAGACGGTGATTGTGGTGCAGAAAGAACTCACACGCCAAGGGGGGAGCTCAAGCAGCTCCAGGCAACGGTGAAACATCTACAGAATCATCATACACGTAGCGAGAGTGGACTCAGTGTAGACAGTGAGAGCAGCACCAGAGTGGGATCTGGGAACATGGCCCCCCCCAAAGCCGCCCACCTTTGCGCCAACTTTCATCCAGATCAGAGGGTGGGGAAATGGGGGCCCAAACATGGTGGTGGGGCGCTCTAGTCGTAATCTCGCGGAGGCCAATGCCCATAAAGTTATCTCAATACTTATGGATGATATCGCTGCACCTTTTGAGACGGTAGATGGACAAAATATGAACAATGTTTTTAATCGTGAGGGCAGTATTGCTTTCAACTCAAACAAGCCATGGGGGTTTTGGCAGCTTCGCATACTCCTCAAACCTACGGTGGCCCGTGAAACACAGTGTGGGAGATCAGAAATCTTTGGAAGAGCAAGTTGGATGAAAAATATGCACCACTGGCAGCAGCAGACGCTTTCGGGGATAAGATCAATGCACGTTTCCAGGTGATGACGGAGGTCGAACCCCACAAGCAGCCTCAGAGCAGGGCTGCAAATCGTCTCATCGCCACCTTCCATAAGCACAAGAGTAAGGAGTCGGCTTGGGTCAGAGTTGAGTACGGACCCCCGACAGTTGCATGGTGCCACGGCAGTCCTGCGACGGGTAGGGCCCAGGAACGTTGCTTTGGGGTTTGGCAACGGGGCTCAGGCTGGAAGCTCACGGCGACAGAACTCTCGCAGATCGATCCTGCCATCAATTGTCAAGCGTGGCAGGCTCAGGTCAATGCCGACAACTGGTGAGGGTGCCCAGGCCTCCGGCTCGCGAGCTGGAATGCCAGGAGGCTTGGGAAGTCGTCGGCAGCTGAAGCACTACAGGCGCTCCGTGACTTCGATGTGGTCGGGCTGCAGGAGGCGCAACATCTAATTCAGGATGAGTCGTTGGTCGACTCACCATTCCGTGCAATTCTCTCGGTTGAAGGCGATGACTTTCAGAACCTCAATGGGGATATTGTGCGGAGCCCGAGTGGACATGCCGGTGTTCTCTTCCGCTCGGACCTCGCCAAACAGTTCCTAGACCAGCGTATCGGGGTAAGAGATGCGGTGATTGCGTTTCAATCTTTTATATTTGCATGTATTTATTTGCCCCGCAAGGGCACGATGGGGAATGCGGAAGTGGCAGAATGGGGCATCGTTCAGCTTTACCAGGGTTTACTCAGGAAGTGCGCCGTACATTGCAAACAGTTGCAACAACTTCATCACATCAAACATCTCGTCATCAGCATCGACGCGAATGTTGAGGTCCATCAGAGCTCCTTATCGGGGCGCCTGCAGGTCTCGGGAGATGGGGTTCTACCTGATCAACGCGGCGGGCGTGGTGGGCATGAAAAACGTGCTAGAATCATCAGAAGAGCTATGAGCGAGGCCCTTGTGGCCACTATGGGTATCTTGGGACTCCAGCTGGCCAACGCCTTTGGGGCCCCGGGGCACAGGAAGGAGGAGGGGAACACAACGTGGAGGAGTACGAGGGGCTATGAGCATGTATATGACTATCTAGCGGTACCCAAATCTTGGAAGCCCCCACCAACAACTTCTACTTGGCTTATCCCTGAGGCTGCTGGAAGAAAGAGAGCTTTGGAAGGAGATTTGTCATTGGATACGTTCTGGAGTGACCATAAGCTTCTTTCACTCGCGGCTCCGAGCATCGAGGACATACAGTTGGACCGCGCGAGTTGCCTACCCAGGAAGATGGCGCACTGGCAAGTGGACCCTGGTGTGCCCTCCCGTGATGCCGCTGCGCTTTTCGACCGTGCCCTTCTCCCCAGCTCACGCATCTTCTGCGGTGCATCCGACACAGAAGTAAGGGAGGTGGCGGGTACCAAACAGTATCACGAGGAGGTGGTTTTGGAAGTGGAGG